CTAGCAACTAGACCTAAGCCTAGAGCAAGCACATATGAGCATGGTCTAACTAAACTAAGCGCTTCGTAAAGCACCTACGCTAATCACCAAGTGATCTTTAAGCTCTATGCATGTGGAGAGCACAAATAAGGTGTAGCAACACACTCCTATCTTCCCCCAGCTCCCACACACTCCAAATGGCCAGTTGGGGCAAGTATTTATAAGCCCCAAGACAAAACTAGCCGTTGTGGTTGAGATCCTCTTCTCAGTGTGGTCACAGAACAGGGTGGTGCCTGTCACCGGACAGGGCGGTGACCGCCACGTGGACTAGCCGTTGCTTCACTAACAAGCCAGCCATTGGGGTACTGTGCACAGGGTGGTGCACCACCACCCTGAGAGTGGTGACCGGGGCGGTGCCCAAGTCCCTCTTCGCTACTCTTTGGGATAATTTAGGCGGTGGCACCGCCACCCCCTGTCCGGTGCACCGCCACCCCATGGCGGTGACCAGGGCGGTGCACACGGCTCTATCCGGTGCCCCCCTCTTCTTCCAGCTGTAGCAGCCCATCTCCGGTGGCACCGCCACCCCCTAGTGGTGCATCGCCATGCCTAGGGCGGTGACCAGGGTGGTGCCCCCTCTTGCTGTTTCTTCGCGTTTCTTCCTCGAGGCTTCATCATCTTTGCGTCTTAGATTCCTTGCTTCACTTCTAAGCTGTCAACACCTCCTCCAATGTCTTCATTTGAGCGTGATCATTTTCTTCATGTTCCAAGTTTAGTCCAAGTTCGTGTTGCATCCTATTGAACTATAAAATAAACACTAGCAAACACATTAGTCTAATTTGGTCATGTTGATCATCAAACATGAAAATCCAAACTAAATGGGCCTAGGGTCCATTTTTCTTACAGTCCGGGCACCAGCAGTTTCATTTATTTTTATTATTTGCAAAAAAATGAATAAGACAAATGGTCAAACATGATATCTAAAAAGTTAAAAGCGTCATCTATTTTGGGATCGAACGATGGAGTATTTGACACAGGGAGGCACGTTGGATTGAAAACACTTGCTAGAGAGAGAGAGAGGGCGATAGTGACATGGTCTGACAGTGGACAGGATCCCGCAGCATGGAGTGGAGGCGGCAAAAAGGTACGTGATGACCGCGGTACCAACAATACCGAGAAACCTGCCGAAGGTTTGGCTGTCAGGTAACGCCCCCAACTTGTCGGAGCTAGATCGCGCCGCTTGCGTCCCATGCTATCCTTGATTCAGACTAGATTAGGAACAAGGTATTGCTGCTGCCATATTTTCACCAACGATGGCCAGCTTCTCTGGGCACTTAATCATGGGTTAGCAAGGAACTGTCGTCGTCTCGCCGAACTTTGGAAGTCAGTTGTTCCGACGAGCCTTGCATTGAAATCGGTGACGCGGGTGCCGGTGAATCGACATCGAGCTAGTCGAGAGCGCAGGGCTATGAGAGGCATTCTGGATGATTGCACCGTCTCATCCTCTACCTCTCATCCCGCCAGGGGTGTGATCTTTCCTTCCCTTAATCCCCATTGAGTGAATTCATCGTCACTTTATTTACATGTCTTCATTTTGGATTTAATTGGCAATTGGCATCTTGATAACCAAAATGGGGGTTGGATCTCTTTCCCAATCAAATTCTCTCTTTTTTAAATGAATCCAACAAAAGAACTGTCAATCATATTAAAGATCAAGAATAAACTTAGCATGAGGGATACAACGTATCAACAACCATCCCAAAGTGTCAACAACTACGACAAAGCATCAAAGCTAAAGAACTACCACAAGTGAAAGCAACTATCAACAACCAATTACAAAAGGGTCTCACATATTGCACAACACCATCTTGCGATTACTACACATTTTGCCACTCTACAAGCCCCAAACCACAACCAGTCGGTTGCCACACTATGTCACGATCATCGGACAACAAAAGACAACAAATCAAAAAGCCATCATCACAGCTTACACCAGCGTTGTTGATGATGTCCCACACCAAGCCAACTACTATCATGCAAGGCTTGTGGCACAGACTCCACGCGGCGCTGAGGCCGGCATCCGCAACGTCGCCGCCGCGTCCTTCAGGCCAATGTTTCGAACTCATCAATATCTCTGGTCGATCAAATCCAACAGATGATCTTGCGTTCAAGACTTATCTACTCAGGCATTGTTAATGCCAATAATAATTGAACTAAAATTTTATTAGCCGGTTGCTTGTGCTGTGCCGTTTTGACACAACTTGCATTTTCTTCTCTCTCTCCGTATTTAATTATTTATGTTCTAGGGCATGAATTGTTCCTTTTGTTGTACTACTGTATCATTTATATCTTGCTTCCAAAAAATATGTCCTGTACTCCTGTGCATAAATTTTAGTTGCTCAAAACAATTAGTAAACTTAAAATTTAGTTACACATTCATTATTTATTTTGGCATGCGGAAAGCAATGTTCGCAATATATTATTACCTGTAGACCTCCCGGATTGTAAGATTGTAAGATATTCCTGAGTTTTGTCCCTTGATCTTAATGAATGCATCTTTTTGTGTCCAAATTTATAGAGATTTGTGTGTTGGAGTCAGAGCACCATGGTCTATATTATATTTTGTTGTGAATGTTTCTAGCACAAAATTATTGGTCCCAAACATGTCCAAGGAATGCACCTGCTGCTAATGCCATAGCCTTAAATTTATATTTATCAGCAAAGCTTTTTTAATTATATATTTAATCTGGGTATTTGCCGGGTGAACCATCCTGCCGACACAGACCAGCCAAAGGTTCAGGGCACCGGCGACGCAACCAATCCGGCAGACCATAGCGACCAATGAAATTCTGGGCGGTATCATCCCGGAAGGTATATCTTATTATTAAATTTATATTTTATCAGCAAATCTTTCTTGTATATTTAGGCCCTATTCGCTTCTCTTATAATTCGTCTTTTTCAGCTTATTTTTTCAATGAACAGTATTTTTCTCTCACAACAAATAAGCCGGAACAATGTTTCGGCTTGTTTTTTTAGCGATGCTAACGGGGCCTTAATCTGGATATCTAACTATACCAGCTGTACATATTTTCATGATCTGTTTGAGGGATTAAAAACTCAGAGCAAGTGCTCTGTTGACAGTACGAGCGAGAGAGAGAGTATGGGTTCGCTTTTCACATTGCTGACCTGATTGATTTGCATCTCCTCTTTATCCAATGCCTGATACACACGGGCATAGGAGGAGGTGGCCGGATCAAAGCCTAGCGCAGCGTGGCAGGTGTTTGGTCTTCATTTGTAATTGGTCCCTCCCTGCACCTTTTTTTCCCCGTGGGAGTGGGAGCATTTTGACTCCCAGACAGACTCGCTGCGCTCGGGCGGGCGCACCCCATTCACTTCATTGGCCATTCCAATCCAACCACCAACCTTCCTTTTCCTCTCGTCTGACCGAACTGACCCGCAGGCCCATCCATCCAACCTCCATGCCATCATCCTTTCCTTCCGATCGAAACTTCCAAATCCGATCCCACCCACGCCCACCAGACCAATCCCGATCGCCAACTACTCCCTACTGCTATAACCATCGCTCCCCTCCCCCAGCGCCCAACCCCGAGCCCGATCATCCTCCGCGCCGTGCCTCTCTCCACTTCGATCGCCTGCCTTCCTCGTCAGTTCATTGCCATCGGCAGCGCCTTGCCGCCGCCCGCCGCTCGACTCCACTCCACTCGACCCCACTAGAGGTGATCGCCTTGTTTGCTCTGCTCCGTGAGTTTCTCTGATTTTTCCCTGACTTTTTCTTTGGGTCCTCGATGGATGTGTAGGGTTTTTGCGGGAGTCGAGTTCGGGCGGCATTGTTGGATTCAGGTTTCTGCCTGGGGGAACCATTGTAAGGGACTAAGGGGTAAGTCTGCTTCTCTCTTGGTGGCTTGGTGCCGTCGAGAAGTTGAGATTACGATTGGTTTGAGGAATTCGAGACTTCGCGGGGAGCGAGAGTAAAGTGTGAACACCATTGGCATTATGCTTGTTTATTAATGTTCTCGGTTCGAGATTTTGCTTGCTAGTAATGCATATCTGCCAGCGTAAATTGGACGGGACGGTGATTGTGATCTCGATGTGTTTGATTTTGAATAATCACGTGCCTTAGGGGTTAAGTATTCTGGAGTAGACGATCGGCTGTTCTAACTTGATCTGTTCTAACGTGATTTTGAATATCACGTGCCTTAGGGGTTAAGTGTGAACACCCAAACATGATATGTAGTATGAGAACGACACCATGGATTGGGCTTTCTAGTCGGTTAATGAACTGTTTTCAGTTGAGCGTTTGGGAGAGAAACATAACTGGATTTATAATTGCAGTTACTGAGCGAGTCTTGTGAAATCTCAAGTGGGCCTTTTAGGTGCTGTAACTTTCTTTTTAACAGCGGACGAGAGGAATTTTCTTTTTGTCCTTTTTGGCACAATCTGACAAAGCCCTGCTCTTCAGATTCTTCATGTCTTCTCGGAACACTGTCAGATATTCCATTCTGTACTTTTCTATGATGCAGTCAACTTCTTGCAAATCTCACTGCAGAATAGTTTAACACTTTTGCTCTAGTTCTATACAGAGGATGAACCATCTTGCCTTTGCTCTTCAGATTCTTTATGTCTTCTGGGAACACTGTCCGATATTCCATTCTGTGCTTTTCTAGGATGCAGTCAACTTCTTGCAAATCTCACTGCAGAAGTTAGTTTGACACTTTTGCTCTAGTTCTATACAGAGGATGAACCATCTTGCCTTTGATCAATGTTACAACTCTTTTTCTACTGTGTTTTTAATAAATCAATAAAAGTGATTGCATTATTTCAGAACTAACAAATACTGAACTGATAGAAGTAAAACCAGTTGTATATATATGAAATTAACAGTTCATTCCTGTATGACTTCTATATATGTGACATGTCAACTATTACTCTGTTCCTGCAATCATGAAGCTTTTCACATTTCGATGACAGGATTGTTGTATCTCATATACGTGTTTTAGAAAGAGATGAAAGTTGGTGGTCTCCTGACCTCTGCTGGAATCAACATTGGTCTCTGTGTACTTTTTCTGTCACTGTACTCCATTCTAAGGAAGCAGCCACAAAATGTTAAGGTCTATTTTGGGAGAAGGATTGCTGAGGAGCACAACCGGCTCCGTGATGCTTTTATCTTGGAGAGATTTGTCCCATCCCCTAGCTGGATTGTGAAAAGTCTGCGGTGCACAGAGGAAGAAATCTTAGCTACTGCTGGGTTGGATGCTGTTGTTTTCAATAGAATTCTAGTATTCAGGTACCTGCATTTTTACTTTAACATGTGCTTCTTTTGTTTCTGGTTACTGTTAAAAGTTGCTGCCAACATTTTAAGCTGTTCTTTTGTGTTACTTTGAATTTATCAGTTTGTATTTTGGTCTACAAGGTTTGCTATGTTACTTTGATAATGACAAGCCCACTAGTAATGTGGCTATCAAACTGCATTGCTTTTTGCCTTTAATTGTGAATAAAAGAAAAAACAGAAATTGATGTGACTTTGGGAAATTAAATAAAACTTCTAGTATACACGTGCTTCTTCAGTTTCTGTTACTGTTAAAAGTTGCTGCCAAGATTTTGAGCTGTTTGTGTTTGTGTTACTTGAATCTGTCAGCTTATATTTTGGTCTAGAAGGTTTATTGTTACTTTATAATGACAAGCACCTTAATGTGGCTTTCAAACTGCATTGCGTTTTGAGACTACTTGTGAATAAAGTTATATGGAGAAAAATCAGAGATTGATGTTACTTGGGGAAATTAAATAAAACATAATAACAGAGAAAAACTATAATACACAAATATAACAATAACATTAAATATCATAACTATTTCACATGGTAGTTTGCTTAATGTGTCATCCAGTATATCTTGTATCATTTTTTTTTAACGTAAAATTTTTTTTAGAGAAAAGGGATATACCCCGCTTTTGTATTAGTAAAAGCCAGAAAGTTTAACAGCATCTGCGTACAGGCGCGCCCGCCCAATTCATGGCCTCATGGCCTTAACACTGAAACAAGTTTGACTCGAGACATCTAAATGCACATCAGACAGACCCGAAGCTACACTTGTTGAGACTGAAGGCTGAACACCCGATGGCTCCGACTCTGATGATAATCTTGTCTCTGTCGAGTCCCTCCACTGCAGTTGAGGCGGTGAGCTTGCTATGATCTCCAGTTGTTGTGCTATATCCTCCACTTGCAGTCCAATCTCCGGCTTGAACATTGGTATCCATCTTTTCACCATCTTGATGATCCTGAACAGAACTCTTCCCGACCCTATCCATGTAATCCCCTGAAAATACATTTCATTTCTTAGTTTCCATAGAGACCAAAGAACAGACGATGAAATAATGTTGGTAAGCATGTGTCGCTTATTTGCAATACAAAATCTGGCAACAGATTCAAAACAGTGACCCAGATTATGACCCAACACTTCAGAGATAGTCAGCCAAATATTTCTAGCTACACAACATTCAAAGAAGAGATGATTAATCGACTCATGATCATTACAAAACATGCAAGAAGGGTCACTAACTTCCCTGCGTTTGGCAAGGTTATCTCTTGTTAATACCCTGTTCTTAGATAACAGCCAAAGAAAGAATTGCACCCTTGGTGGCATGCTAATCTTCCAAACTGAACTCACAAACTGCGGGACAACGCCCCTGTGGTTAACCACTGCATACAGAGACTGCACTGAATATTTACCTGTCAACGTAAAGCTCCATAGAATATGATCTTCCTCTTCAGAGAGGGAGGTTGACTCAACCAAATTACACAATTCCCACCAAAGGTTCATAGTATTAGCTGACACATTCCTTCTAAAAGTTAACATCAGATTTTCCCCATCCCAGACCTCATGAACAGTTTTACCATGCTGCTCATTAATAATGCATAGAGGCCAATATGCAATAGCTAAACTGGTGTTGCCTATCCACAAGTCCTCCCAAAACCTAATCTTCCTACCATCACCAATAACCCACTTGATGCCCATATGAGCAGCTTGCATGGCCCATAGTACCCCTTTCCAGAAAGGTGATGTACCAACATTTGGGCAGCAAAACACATTAGGATCTTCGGTTTTATACTTGAAATCTACTATGTTCTTCCAGATAGCATTATTGTTCAACTGGTACCTAAAGATCCAAGATCCTAGTAAAGCTAGGTTGAGACTCCTCATATCAGGAATACCTAGGCCTCCCACCTCCTTTTTCTGTGAGACCAACTGCCAATTAGCTAAATGATACCTATGATGGTGAACACTGTCATTCCATAAGAAATGGCCCATTTGAGAATTGATCACGTCAATCGCCCATCTTGGGAACTTAATGACAGAAAGCAAATACATTGGGATACTTGCCAAACAGGCTTTGAGCAAAGTCAGCCTGCCTGCATAGGACAAAAGCCTACCTTTCCACCCAGAAATTCTTTTAATGATCTTATCAATGATGGGTTGTAAATCTTGTCTTCTCAGCTTAGTGTCATCCAGTATATCTTGTATCATTTTTTTTAAGCGTAAAATTTATCTTGTATCATCAATCTTGTCACGGTCCAATATTGTATTAGATGGTCTGAAGTTGAAAGAATTAAACAATTCCTATGACATGCTAGATTCGGTAAACTTAGCTATTATTCAAGTATATTTGATGCAGTTTACTCTAGTCACTTCTATGGCACAAGAACTCTATCCATCGTTCATGGTGAATGTGTGGGCTATTTCTCTTATATAACTGTATTTTAAACATTTATGTTCCAACTGAAAGGGAAAGAAACTTTTAGCCTTGGTAGGAGGTGAAGGACATAACAAAACCTCAGAAAATGCTACTTTCACGTCCTACCTGATTGTGTTCCTGCAGTTTTTCAATTCTTTCTATTCACAATATACAAGCTAATGCATTTTATTTTCAACAGCATACGCATCTTCTCCTTAGCCGCCATTCTTTGTATATTTGGAATCCTTCCACTGAATTATTTTGGACAAGATATGCATCATGTCCGGATTCCGTCAGCGTCATTAGAGACATTTACAATAGGAAATGTGGAAGAAAGATCAAGATGGTAAGTAGTAAAACTTATCTGACCTGGTTATAAGGTGGTTAAGTTCAGTAATTATGTATAAAACCTTATATATTTTATTTCCTGTTGATTACAAATTTTTAAGCACTTGTTACTTGTTATTAAATGTCTCAGCTATCTAGATTTGCCGTTACATTTTGTACTGTCCACTGAACGCATATGCTTTTTTTAAAAAAAAATATACATCCCCTTGGATTTTTTTTGACATGCTAGTTATAACCACAGGCTTTGGGTCCATTGCGTCGTGCTGTACATCATCTCTTCTGTAGCTTGTATTCTTATATACTTGGTAAGCTCAAGTAGTTTAGTTTAGCCATTAAAATTTGTTAAGTAGTGTTCCATTACGTAATGATAAGAAACTTAAATATTTGGTGTTGTTTCTCTAGGAGTACAAGCACATTGCCCGGCTGAGGTTATATCACATTTCTCGAGCAACAAGCAATCCTAGCCATTTTACTGTACTTGTCCGAGGAATTCCAAAATCAAGTACAGAATCATTCAGCAGGACAGTTGAAAGTTTCTTTACCAAGTACCATGCATCAAGTTACCTATCTCATCAAGTCGTTTACAAAGTTGGGAAAGTTCAGAAGATAGTGGTAAGAAATACCTATAGTCATAAACATTATACAAATCATGTTAAATAACAAAATTATTCTTTTTTAGGAAATGTAACACTGCTGGCTGCTCCTAGTGAGAGTCCTGAAGTAATGTTGTTACTTATGGGTGTGTTGGTCTACTCAAGATAATTTATCTATAAATCACATTACAGTGATGCAAATTTGGTATCTGCCAAATTTGCTCTTATGATCTACAATTGTAGCTGCTATTGTCTTTTTACGGGTAGTTATAATGCGCGAAATTCAAATTTTAATATTCATGAGGCGGAGGCTGTAGCATGAATGAAATTCACAAACAACTGAAATTTATGGTGTAGTGATGCTAGATACTTCGGTCGCTTATCTGAAGATGGAATTAGCTGAAATCTTCAGATAAACAGTGTCACTGCATCTTCCTTATGTTATTCCTGTTTGGAGTACTAATTTGTTCTTATTTACAGAGTGGCGCAAAGAAGGTTTACAGGAAGTTCAGACATTTCAAGAGTGCGACAGTTGATCAGAGATGCAGACCCATCACATTTCAATGCTGCTTTTGTGGAGCGTCTTCTAATTCATTCCAGTTGTTGCCCAGCGATTACGAGCAAGAGAGCGAAAAGTCTGATGTGAATGATTCAAGCTCGAGCTTACCTGATGAGGTCAAACTAGCAACAGTCATGATTTTTTACTATATTCTTAATAAATTACTCCTAATTAGTAATAATTAGTTTATTTATGTGGATCTGAACACAGGAATGTGGTGCTGCTTTTGTATTTTTCAAAACTCGGTATGCAGCGCTAGTTGTAGCCAAAATTCTGCAGACATTGAACCCTATGAGATGGGTCACTACTTTGGCTCCAGAGCGTGATGACATATATTGGTCTAATCTTTGGTTACCCTACAAGCAACTCTGGATTCGGCACATAGTCACGCTTCTGGGGTCTATTGTTTTCATGTTTTTATTCCTTATACCAGTGACATTTATACAAGGTTTAACTCAGCTGGAGCAGCTGCAGCAAAGGCTCCCTTTTCTGAGAGGGATATTGGAAAAGTAAGTTACATAAACACTTACAACTCGTATCTTATTTTCTAAAAGAAAAGAAAAAGACATCACCTCTTTTAGTCTTGATATAGATGTGGTTTTCTTCACTTATATTAGTATACATTGCACACCATATTCAAAATGGCTCAATTTATCGTCTAGGATGATGATTAGCACTTCTAGCCTTCCATTCTGGCATTGTACTTCTGTGTTTTATTCATCGTTTCAGCAACATGTACTGATTATTATTTCTTTGCAGGAAATACATGACCCAGCTAATAACTGGATATCTTCCCAGTGTCATCTTGCAAATATTTTTATATACTGTCCCCCCAACCATGATGCTATTTTCTACTTTAGAAGGGCCTATCTCTCACAGTGAAAGAAAGAAAAGTGCCTGCTGTAAAGTATTATACTTCACCATTTGGAATGTCTTCTTTGTTAATGTCTTATCGGGTTCAGCAATTAGCCAACTGAATGCTTTATCAAGCCCAAAGGACATTCCTATGCAGCTTGCTAAAGCAGTACCTGTGCAGGTAAATGACATGTTTGTTTGTTATATGTGCATTATTAATCATGTAATAGATGTACGATGTTTGTATTGTATTGAGTTCTCTTCGGTAGCTCAGCGCTGCTTTCTGAAAAAATTATTTCCATTTCAGGCTACATTCTTTACGACCTATGTTCTTACTTCAGGATGGGCTAGTCTATCATCAGAACTTATGCAACTCTTTAGTCTTACATGGAACTTTGCAAGAAGATATCTTCTGAGAATGAAGGAAGATAGCGATTTTCTTTACTCATTTCCCTATCACACTGAAGTGCCAAAAGTTCTATTGTGTGGACTGTTGGGTTTCACATGCTCTGTACTAGCACCTCTAATCTTGCCCTTTTTACTGCTGTACTTTTGTCTTGGCTATGTTGTCTACCGCAACCAGGTGAGAATGTTGGGGTAAAAGTTCTGGCTCTAAAGTTTTTTTTGACGAAAAGTTCTGCTCTAAAGTCGATATGCACAATTTATGCGTAGGTACCACTATAATCAGGAGAATATTGAAAAATTAGACTGTCATGCTTTGCTGTCTAACAAATTCTCTTTAACCACATGTAAGCCTGGAAATTGACAGATTCTTTGAGTTTCATGATCTCTGTTATTATTCTTATAATATTCTGCATGTAAGTTGCAGCCAAACAGAAGGAAATAGTTTCCTATTAGCTAAACATTTTTTTGTTATTCAATTTATTAATTTGTAGTGAAGAAAGTAATTCAAACCTTTGGTTTTGCCATTACTCATTTGTGAATTTATTTATGTTTTAACAGAATAAATTTGTTAAAGAACAGTCTTCTGTGCTGCTTTGAGCTAATGAGTTTGCAATGTCTTCCTTTTCAGTTCCTCAATGTTTACTGCACAAAATACGACACAGGCGGTCTATATTGGCCAATTGCGCACAATACTACCATATTCTCTCTAATCCTCACTCAGATCATCTGTCTTGGTGTATTTGGCCTTAAAGAATCCCCTGTAGCTGCTGGCTTCACTGTCCCTCTTATCATCTTTACTCTTCTATTCAACCAGTATTGCAGAAAGCGTCATCTCCCGTTATTCAAGACTTTCCCTGCACAGGTTGGTGCAATCTCTTTAAATCTTTTTTTAAGCTTATCTCTTTAAATCTTTAATAGTTTGTATTTTGCAAATGTAAACAATTGAAGGATTCAGAAGAATAAATTCCAGGCGTGTTTGGTTCTCTTGGCTGCACTTGCCTAGTCTTGCAAGGGCAAGAAATCCGTATAAGTTGGCAAAGGAACCAAACATACCCTTAGAACTTGTTGCTAGTTTACATTTTTTCTATGCTCTCAACTGTGATTTGGTTCAAATCACTTGTCTAGCTACGAATCACTCTGACTTGAATATTGGCTGCTGGTCACGCACAGAATTTGATTGACATGGACAAGGAAGATCAGCAATCAGGTACAATGGAGGACCTTCATCAACGCCTTCATTCTGCCTACTTTCAGTTCCATGACACCGACGACGTACCTTTGGAAGGAGTTCACAGCACTGCCGGCAGAGACGAAGACGGAAGCGGCAGTTCGGGAGAATCAAGCCGCAAGGAAAGCCCCGACGACGAGCTCAAGAGTGGCCTCTCCCACCCGACGCTGGATGGGCTCCCGGTTAGTCGGTTACGCAACGCGGTGAGATCACTTGGGTCCGTTTTGAGACCGCAGAAGAGAGAGTTACCAGTATAGCATGCTCCTTTATCCGCCCATGTAAATTCAAGGTCGACAAACCACACACAGTTACCAGTATAGCAAATATTATTGATAGCGCGTACAGGGAGAGGAAGATCCACAGAAATGGAAGGGAGTATACGTATACCACCCGTTTGCAAGGCTAGAAATTTTGACGTGTCAATTGATGCTTGAATGTCTTTTCAGGTTATTCCTTTTCAATTGATTGGTTCTTCAAACGTTCAGGCTGGCTTCTCTGGTTATGTTCCCCTTTGCCTTGTTTCTTCAGCACTGTACCTACTTCTGTATCTGGTGAGGTGAGCTGGCGAGCCGCTGGAAACAGCGACGCGGCATCGGTGGTAGAAGAGAACTAATTGTCCATTATTAATCTTTTTCAAAGCTAAATTACATAGCGCGAGTGAGCGCGACACAGCAAAATGACAAATATAAACGGACACAGTCACACGCCAGCAAATCACAGGATGGTGCAGGTGGAGGTGGATGAAGATCCCTCCGCGGCGGCGGCGGCTGCGGCGGCGCCATCACCGTTGGCTGCGGCCGCCTTGCCGCCGGCCGAGGCGACGCCTGGCCAGTCGCGGCAGGCGCAGTGCTGGCCGTCGGGGATCTGGCGGTGCACGGAGGCGACGTGGCGGCCGCAGCCCGCCCACGTGGACTTGCCGCACGTCCCGCACTTCACCTGGTAGCACATGGCTGATGGCTCCCACTGGCTTTGGCTTCCCCTCTAGCTAAAGCTTCTTCCCCCTCGCCTCCCAGACAGCAGCAGCTGCACTGCAGCCTGCAGCTCCTTCTCGAAGCGGAGTTATCTGAGGAAATCTGGATCGATGTGGGCGATGTCTGGGCCTCGAAGGAGAGCTGATTATTTATACACTCGCAGCCGTTCCTTTCTTCCTTGGCGAGTCGAGTTGGCGTGGTCCGTTTGACAATTCGTTCCTTTTGGTTTGACCTGCGAAACCGATGCTGGGGGCGGGGGGCCTAGGGAAGGATACCGATCCGGCTGGCCTATGCTGTCACATGAGTTTCAATTTCAACAAAACAAAATGCAACGACACCAAGTTCTTGGACAAATGGTTGCACATGCAAAGCCGGAGTAGAGGATCCGAATCCAAGGCACCAAGCAAGAAGCAACTCATCGCTTTCCTCACCCAAGTAGCCAACCAATATTTGGCTTATGCATGTAGTAATCTAAGTCCGTTGACCTTCGAAGAGAAACGGTCCGTCCTGCGATGACTGATCCGATCAAAGTCTTTGGACAGAGAAAGAAGGGGCCTGGGAAAAAACCGAGCCCATTCAAGTTGAAAGTCCGGCCGGCGACCTCCACCATCAGAAGCAAACGTCGAAAACGTGTCGACAACTCAAAACACGTGCTTCCATCCTTTTGGAACAAAATGCGTGTGACCAAACTGGCAGCAGTTTCGCGGTCGCACGAAGCCACGGCTCAGGACGCCATCACCGTGCACGAAGAAGATGATATCTGCCAGGTCGCGGCTTGCCGTCAAAGATTTCAACCCAAAGCAGGGACTTTTATCAGGAAGGGACTAAACCACTGTCCGTTGTTACGACGGTAACTCAAATAATCGAATTAGATTTAGCAATTAAGTGGATGTATTTATTTTTGTTGTTGCAACGAGCGATAGTACTATACAAGATGTGGGTGAGGAGAGGCAGCGACAGTGGCGGCATCTAAATTAGCAAACTAATTACTTGTAAGCATTTTGATGAATAACTTATGTATGTGGAATAAAACAGCTCATTATATCAATTCTTCAAATAAGATGTTGTCCAAACTTCACAATGCACAATGTACTTGTAAGGATTAGCTCAACACATCAACCCCTATTATCAATGTGTCAAAGAACTTATGTATGCCTCATGTTATTAGACCACCCGGTCCAACCAACCAAAAAAAAAAAACCAATCCAACCTGACCCGCCAGTGCATCGGATCAGACACATGTCATAACTTTTGACTTATGAGCCAATTTAACTTGAAAAAGCCTTACCCAAACTAGGAAAACCTGAAAAACTCCAAGAAACAATCCAAGTTGACTCGCCGTCAGTGGTCAGGTCTAGCTTGGGCAAAAAAATTCGACCTGACATTTTTTCGGTTAGACCTAGCCGATGTTAGATCAGATCTACAACATGTTAGTGTTTCGTACCACTAGCAAGTAAATTTTGTGCTACACATGGGGTTCGAGCAGGGGATTTCAGTGGGAGTTTTATATCCTAGATTTTAATACTTTCATGTGTTGGAAACAATGTGAACTACTCCTCATTATAAATTATAGATACATGGCTTTTGCTATGGATCTAGATATACACTATCTGGATAGTAAAAGCAATGTATCAAAAAAAAGACAGAACGTCTTATAATTTGAAGAGTAGTTTCATCCTCATATATTTATTTTATTTCTATAAAACTTTAATCATCTCTTTTTATTAATATACTATGACATATAACTCTCGGAAAACCTCTACGGAGACTGGCCAAAACTGTTCTATTTTAGTCTGTGTCTCTCAATTAAGCCTTCCAGTATAACACACATATAACAAGTCAACGACACAAGTGAATACGGGCGAAAGAGAGTAAAAAGAGAGGGGAAAAAGAACCGCTACAGATTGCGTGTAACGGTGTAATAACACAATTGTGAAGAATGAGACATTTATTTGGCCCATCGTCGTCAAAGCGCGGACAGTATTAATTACAATACGAAATTTGACCACGCAACACGAGAAGCGTACGACTTGATACAATCGCTGGTAGCACGACGACCACACGTTCGTTCGATCGACACGGGTCGGGGAACAGAACACCACGCGACGCGAATCTCACTGCGCAGCGCCGCCTTCCGCGGGAGCGGAAGCGGCGGTGGTGCCGGAGGCCTTCCCAGCATCGTCGTCAGCGCGCCGGCGGCCTTCTTCTCGACACCGACGGCCGGGGCGGGGGCGGGGGCGACGCCGGGCCAGTTGCGGCAGGCGCAGTGCTGGCCCTCGGGGATCTGCGCGTGCACCGACGCGACGTGGCGGCCGCACCCCGCCCACGTGGGCTTGCCGCAGGTGCCGCACTTCACCTGGTAGCACATGGCGTCGGTGGTGGCTTCGCTGAGATCTGCCCTCTCTCCGCTCTTCTCCTGAGTCCTGATGGTCCGGAGGGGAAGCTCGATGAGTTGTGGCCTTGCGGGGTTGCTTGAGGCTGGAAGACGAATGGAGATGAGAATTTATAGAAGGCCCATCGCCGTGTACCACTCTTTCGCCCTTCGCTCAGTCCATTGGGCCGATTTCCCTTTTATCCATGTTTTATTTATACTCCCCCCATAAAAAAAAAAAGAATGCAATTCTCGTTTTTTTTTTGAGAAGTTAAACAGTTTGAACTTTAACTAAATTTATATAAAAAAATACTAACACTTATAATACAAAATAAGTATCATTGAATTCGTTATAGGATATATTTTCATAATAAATTTATTTGAAGATATAAACATTAATACTATTTACTATAAATTTGGTCAAACTTGAACTAGTTTGATCGGCACGAATCTCATAGGTGCATTCTTTCCTGGACCGAGGGAGTATACAACATAAAAATATAAAAAATAATGGGGTGCAGTTGGGTAGTAGCACTATAGGACTAATATTGAGGTCTCGTTCAAATTCCAACTTGGTCCCGTTTGATCACACCATTTAAACCTTCCAATGAATTGACTTTGACATTCACTGGAAGCAGAAGTCAAAGCAAGTCAGGAAACGAAGAACCCGAATTCGTCCGAGTTGAGGTTCAACGACCTCCACTTGCAGGCGTTTAAAACATGTCAATCAAAAATCAAAACATATGTTTGCTTTGCCTTTTGGACCAGAGCATAGGCGAAGACTCCTAGGAGGGAAGCATTCCTCCACCACCTCTTTCACCCTCTTGTATGTATCCCAGCGGTAGATTCTTTTAGCCCATTTCGGTCACGTAAAACAGGCCTTGACCACTGCACAACCCAGCAGGAAGGTCCATCTCGAAAGCCTGTTACGAGTATTCTTTTTTGTTTTTTCATATTTCTTTTTTCTTTCCCATTTCCTTTTTATTTTACTATAATACATGATTTTTCTTCGTCTTTTCATTTCCATTCTATGTTTCCATTTTTTTCTTCCTTTTTATTTACTGATTCTAATTAACTTTTCTTCATTTATTTTCATCTTTAATTTATTCTTCATTCCTTCTATTTCATGAGGTGTTGTAGCCGGTAGGTTTATTCTGGATCGTTTTTAAAGTATTTTTAAATGTTTCATTATGTATTCTGATTTTAAAAAAAAATTATTCATGTTCCGGTGTATTTTGGAATATTTCTACATTACCCGTGAGATGTTCTATAGTGTATTTTTGTTTGTTTAGTGTCCGGCGAGTAATTTGTGTATCATTGGATATGGATTATTATTTATACTGATTAAGGTACAACAAAAATCCCTTGCAAATCGTGCCAAACACACAAAAATCACGTCAAAACACAACTCAGATTCGATCTAGAAAGGACAACCAACTCGGGTTGGTTTTGACAGCTAGATCCGGCCTAGGCTGCTTTGAACGGTAAAAAACCTGCTTGGGCTGTTTTTTGCAAGTGGAATTTCCTAGGAGCGTGATTTCTTCATCCAAACTCCAAATTTGACATTGTATATATATATGTGGTTTTTTATCGTCTTAATGAGAGAAATGTAATGATAGAGTCCATTATGTGTTTTGACAAATTACGAACTGTCCTAGGCTGATTTTTGGTGGCAAAATTTTGGAATTGCCTCCTTGGCAATTGTAGTTGTCAACCCTTGTATAGGAGGCGACAACATCAACAGTTGTTCAGGTTGGATTTTGACCGAGTCAGAAGCCAGACATGGATGGGATGGATGGAATAAGAAGCAAAGTAATGGAAAAGGGGGCGTTTGGATCTCAAGGCTAGTTAAACATGAGTCCACCTTGTGATAATAGACTAATCATGGGTATTTGGCCTTTCTAATTAGCCTTCAAAAATCGGGAGTAATTTTAAGCCATATGTATAAAAATACGCCCAGTAGCTTCGGCAGGCTATCGGATGGCCAATTGGCCATGGAGGCACGGACGGAGCATGCAGATGCAGCAAATTAAAATCGGCGAAGAAAGCAGGCGATTTGGGGTTGATTTGTGACGGGGAATGCCGAGAAGGGCGCGATTTGGGCGCCGCTGCTGTCGGTGGTTTGGGGCTTGGCGCTGCGGGCTCCCCGTCCACCCGTCGTGCGAATGAGGACGGCCGGCATAGCTAGGCCAGTTTCTGGCCTGACCGTGAAGCAGTGCAGCCCATGCGCTTGCTTCAGTGGATTATTATTCGATCGTTTCTGGCGCTGGGTGGCAGAGGTAGCATTTCTCCCGAGTGCCTCCAGGCCATGCCTCAATCTTCGGTCGCCTGTCCAATGCCTGCGCCGAAATGCCAGCCATAAGAAGATTTTGATCCTTAAAGGAGCCCAAGTCTTCCATATAAGTTTGTGACCGAGGAGTGGATTGATTATTTCAAGACACATTGTCTCGTTGGTTTAGCTGATAAGCCATGACTGAATGTATTGTTTGTGTTTGTTGGCTAAAAAAGTACGGCTTATAAGCCAAACACGACGACAGCGCGGGGTCGATCACTGTTGCGTGCTGCACGCCTGCACCTGCACGGAACGAAAAGGTGGGACCCGCCTGCCACTTGATTGCCACGGCCGATCGGATCGGGAAACGGAGAACCGGTGGAGAGACTGCTGGCGGAGGGGGACGGCGGCTGGTGTAACAGTCGCCGTTCGTACGCTTTACGGTGCCCAACGGGGACGCGCGCGCGTAACACGTCCAGACGGGATCGGACCAGCGCATGTTCCCGGCCGGCCCCGCCGCCGGGTGGCGCGTCGCCGCCACGCGGTCGCCAAGCAGGTCGATCGATGCACGTACTGCTAGCTGCTGTGTGCTGTCGCCCAGGAGAAAGGCACGCACTACACGCCCTGACGGCGGCCCGACGATAGATCCCTTTACGATGATGATCTAGCTAACGTGTTAGTACTTAGTAGTACGTGTGTGTGTGCGCTCCAGCAGTGTGTCCTGTACGAGTACTATCGTAGGACGGGTTGGGGCTAGAGTCATTGTTGTATCGTCATCGATTGATGGAGCATATATTCGTGCAGGCGTTTCTTTAGCTAGGCAGGCTAAGCTCTCACCATGTCATGTGCTCAACAGCAGTCGTGCCTGTACTACTACACGTCAACGAAAGGCAGGGGCGCAGGACGGAAGTGACCGGAGAAAAAGTAGATCAGAGAACTTCCGCGAATCACGCGCTCGTCTCCATCCCATCCTTTGCCTTTGGCAGTCTACAGAGGACTAGCACTAGCAGCCACACACAGCCTGTTGGTTCGGTGGTTTTAACCGGTCTAAACCAAATGAGCCAATAACAATATTTTCTCCATAAAACCAAAAAGACGTCAAAAAATTCAAAACCAAAGACCAAAGATCAACCAAATGAATAGGCCCACGGCCTATTCGGCTGGGCTGGCTGGCTGACGGGTGCTGACCAGCTCAATCACGTGGGCACTGTTCATATTCCAATCAAAATAATATTTTTCTTTTTCACCAAATCAGACAGCAGTAATAATCTACGAACCTACCAGCTGCTGCTTTCCTTCTCATCTCGTTCTCAGCCCCCAGCATCACACATGGAAACCACTCGTTCTTTATTTGAGGCTTCCAACTCCATTGCAAGTCAGATTGTACCTGCATTTCTCATGACTCGTCAAGTAGCGTGTATCTCTTGATCTTCCCCTGTGCTCACTGCAGCGACACACACCAACATATATAGATTAACGATGGGTCTGTTCGCTTGGAGAAATTCTAGAGGAATTTGGATGATTTGAAGAAATGTTAAAGGAATTTGTGAGAGAAAAACACTATTTCGGATAAAAAAAAAGAGCACGTGAACGGGGCGATGACGGCGCCCAGCATTCAATCGGCCTGTCTCTCAAAACACTCTGCAGCGTTGCTCTGCTCCGGCTTTATTTTTTTGTTGCACCTGCTTCCAGCTGTGATTCCACACAGTGTGCGACGACGACCGTGCATGACGATGGCAGCGGATGAGTCGACTGTGCTTTTGCCTCCTGCCATGTGCTGATGTGCTCCACTCTCCGCTGTAAGCGTGGAAAATGGAAATAGATATCCGAATTATCCGATATCCGTATCCTGCTTCTAATGGATCTTCGTATTTGTATCCGTTTCTAATGGTAACTAAATGGATATATGCGAATTCGTTTTTCCAGTGTTTTTCTCTATCCGATTCCAGATCCGTATTCGACAATATCCGGCAGTATCCGTATCTGCAAAGGAAACAAGGTATCATGAATATCCGTATCTGCAAAGGAAACAAGGTATCATGAACATATTTAAAATTTTCTCTTCATAACAGTAACTAGTTGTTTAATTTTATTGTTACTAATGATGCGTTGGAACCATTTAATAGTGTATCTATAAATACCTTTTAGTATTAATTTAAAATTATAAACGATACACATAAAGATTAAATTAATTTTAGTATTTTCTAATTTAGTTTAAACCTAATATGTTTGTTGTTTTAAATTATTTTAATACTTTAGTTTATTTATTTGTTGATATAAATTATTTTATATAATTAATATTTTATGATAGTTATTTATATATTTATATAAATATAATATTGATTAATTAATTGATATTTTTAATTATTAAATATTTATTATATTATTTTTATGAGCTATCCTTATCTATGTTATATACACAAATAATTTAACCTCTACTTGTGTAGTAATTTTGTAATTCCAAAAATATTGATAAAATAAAATGGCTATTTGTTTTCTACAATTTTTATTTAAATTTCCTCACTTGACCTATTATTTTATTAAATATTATCCATTATAATTTAGTTTACTTCGATGTTGGAGATTATTAGAAGTGTACTTTCATTTAGTTAACTTCAGTAATGATGAATTACTAGTAAAATTTTATTCATATATGTTGAATTTAACAATATAGACTTCAAGATGAATCGAGTAAAATATCCGTTTTGTATTGGAATCCGAGAAA